CTAGTTTAAGTATTTGAGAACGATGGTTAAATATATGCTACACCAAAAAAAAAAAAAAAAAAAAAGTTGGAAATTAAAAATTGTACGAACTCCTTTTGTCTGAGTCAACATAGGTACAGAGAGAACATTGTATTACACATTTTTTTACAAAAGATTAAAGATATACTATGCTCAAATTTGATATCATAAGATATTGATAATTGCTAAACAGTCTCTTAGTAAATATGAAATAAACATGTTTTGACTTCAAACAAAGTTAAAATGTCATGTTTAAAACGGTACATACATAGATCATTACAATATGGATATATAGAGTGGGTAAAACAATGGCAGTTTTTTTAAAGAAAAGACCAACTTTATTTGTCCTGTATTACAGAACGTGACTTCCAATATAGTTTATTATTCACTTTTTATTTAAATTAGACATATTCAGTAAGACTTTCTCAGGTTTTTAATAAATTTCTTCGATTTAAAAATTTTTACTCAAAGATAAGCATAATATATCTTTAATGATATAAAGCTGAAAAGCAGCTTCTAGGCCATTATGTTCATCTTCAGACATTATCGCATAATGGCGAGCAGCAACCAAGTATTCATCTCTAAATAAAAGCATAATTACGCGGAAAGAAAGGCGTTTAAATGCGCAGCAATAGACGCCATAAGGTAAAGAAAAGGTGGTATATTGTCAAAAAATAAGCATAATAAAGTGAATAAATTTGTTATAACTTACAAGAGGCGTGGTACCGCAAACAAATAAAACATTTAAACCCACACAAAAGGAGTTTATAGGAAAAAAAAACATATAAAAGCAAAACAAAGACTTTATAATGTGAAACAAAGTGCGCGATAACGTAAAAAGGCATTAACGGTAATCAAATGACATAGATAAGCATCACAACGCCTTTTGTTTCGCGTTATAGCTCCAGAATTGCGTTATTACCACTTTTTTCGCGTAGATACGCCTCTTTTTTGTCTAAGTCATTTTATTAAGTGTTTTTATTGAATAATGACGCATTTTTATTAAATGTACCATGATACTATTAGGCTTTCGTATATTTCCATTAAGCGATTATAGGTAACTACGCAACTATTTAAAAGTATAATGAAACATAACATCAATACGCGTTCGTTGAACATTATAAATTCCATTCTTAAGAATAAAGGTATCACCCCTTTGATAATTGGAATCGTCTTGTACTTCCATCAGTCAGTATGTTCGGAATCGTGTCACCCCTGCCTGATTTTCATGTCATAAATATTTACCATGTGTCGCAAAGACATATTAGTAGTTTCAGGTCTCACGAAGAGAACAAAGACATAAATGAAGTATCAAAGTTTTAATCAATTACTTTGCCATTACGAAATTACTGGCAACAAATGTTATCCGTCATAGGTCACGCATAAAGCTAGGTATGTATCTTAAAATTTAAGATCATACATAAGGGCCAAATGAATAATTGTAATTAAACTTATTTAAAAATGTTATATTTGTATTTCTAAATTGAAAGAATAAATTGTATTTGTTTGTATCATCTACGGAACCATTCGTTATTCAAATGGTTATTCAATTGTTTTTTTTTATTTTGTTTTTTGTTGTTGTTGTTTTTTTTTGGTGTTTTTTTTTCAATGAAGTAAAGAAAATATATGCATTACTCATAGGTAGGAGATGGAAACAAAATATTTGCTCGCCCATTTCGTTTATTGATCGCTTCCTTTGCTGATAAATGAAAATATGTACATTTAGTTAGTTCAAAGTCTAAGCGTATACTAATTTAATGGTTTGCAATGGTCTGTGATTTTGAGATTTTAATTTGGTTTTGTTTTTATCTTCATAGTTATAAGAGACATTTTCCGGTACCGATTTTCCCTTCAACTTAAGTTTTATCACCCATACATACATGTATATACACTTTGTTTATCATTTTTATCTGTTTGATACGCGACAAGATAGTTCTGTTTAAACACTTAACCCGTATTTTCATGTATGGTTATCAAACTTACAATTTATCTACATCAAAGCTTATAACAATAAGTTATCAAACTTTAAAATGTGTAAATGAATAAAATGGTAATGTTAATATGTTAAAAATGATTTGACGATTTTCCCATAATTGACACGTTTTTTGTCGCATTTTGTTATGAAATGGATTCTTTGTTTTGATGTGACATAATAATTATAACACAAATATAAAGTGAAAAAGAATTGGGTTGTTTCAAAAATAAACAGATGTCTTTAGGGATCACCTATTAATTATGTCCGACATTTTCTTCTCTTAAACTTTAAGTCAATTCATCTTTTTTCGTAAAAACTTCAAACGAATACAATTGCAAAGTTTTTCAATAATTTAAAACATGCAGATATTTCTTTGCCAAGACAAACAATATTACAAAAATCCTTTATAATAGATGTACTGTTTACATTTTTTGGTTCTGGTTCATAGCAATTTTCTTTGGAAAGCATGTAGCCAACAGATCAAATAACATGACTTCGAGGGAGCGTTGTCTTATATCTATAGAAAATAGGAGAAAAAAACGGCAAGGAAAGGTTGCACAGCCTCATAAATAGCTCGTTTTCTGAAATAATTATTTAAACATAAGTTTCCAATACATACGCATTTTGAGAATTCAAAAAAACAAACCTGCAAGATGAAAAATGTATAGAAATAGAAAAAAATAGTACAGAATTTTAAGTAATTTTGACGACCCAAAGTATTCTTTTAAATACTCGCTTGACTTAAATGCATAGTTTGAATAGTTTACTACCAGTTAACATAAACAAAAACTTAGACACGGTTTTCCTTTTATAAGTGTGCGTATTACTTTGATAGTATCAATATCAGATAATATTTTATCATATAAATCTTAAAACCTCTAACCGAACTTACAACAATATCTATATCATTTTTTATTATTATAATTATTATTTATCTTTGATATAGACATTTCCAAAATACATTTTACTTGAATATACCCAAAAGACATTTCAAAATCAGTAACCAAGTTTTTAGGACACTTGGCATAACTAAACACTTTCAAGTTATGTCCGCTGTCATGAAAGAGAAACTTCAATTCATCTATGGCATTACTAGTTTTATTATTTCAGAAACACCAAACCAAAGTCACATTCTATCATAAAAATGTATATGGTCAGTCTTTCAATATACAATCTATCTGAAAGATGGACCAATCAATGCTAATTTACATAACTTGAAAAGCAACACATTGTAAAAAAAACACAATGCCTGTTTTACATGTATATCAAATATTACATTTGCAATTACAAGGTAGATAATATTACCATACTTTAATATTTTACGAATGCAAATCAAAACAATGTGAATAAGATGTAAATAGATAGTAAGGTAAATGCTGGCATACTTAGATAATAAGCGCATGGAAATCAGCGTCCTTTACTAACAAGTTAAATAGTTTTTCGTTAACGGAAAACTAAGTAAATACTAAAAAAACACAACTTTCCCCCTTTTAAAAAAGATACGAAAGGAACCCTTGAAATTTTCCCTGTAACGGGTTTTGAACACATTCGGGTGTTTTTTAATCAAAATTAAATATCACCATGAAAAAGTTGGGTTCTGCTAAAGGGGGGGGCCTGGGGCTTTCCTTTTCCTCCCATGAAAGGCCCAAACAACCCAGCCTGCATATTTCATTTGGGTTTTTTGCGTTTTTTGGGGTTCGTTATTTTTTATTTTTTTTAGAGATTTATTTATGAATAAGTAGAGGTAATAAATTTCCTTATCCACATTAACACTTGAACATGCTCGCGTGACGCCCCCGAAATATTTTTAAAAAGTATTTTTTTTTAATATGGAAGTTTTTCCTTTACCACCTGTTTAAACTGTTATAATTATACAAATAATTATGTACAGATACGTGTTTTATTTGTGATTGAGAATTTAGTAACTTGCAAAATCATATGTATTATCGAGCGATATAAGAAATGCATGTCTCCCTAAATATTATTGCCATTGGCCAACGTCTCAGAAATTTAAAACTTTGTTAACTACACAACAGTCGAATGTTTTAAATAAGTTAATAAAATTTATATATTTACCAAATATAAAACGCACTGCGTTTACTGGTTAGATTTATATAAGTTCAAATGTAATACTGTATTACTTTTTTTTGCATGTAAAGCACATAATTTTTTTTGTGTGGCCTGATAACATGTACCGATCCTGTATAATACATGTTTAAAATTATACGACCCAGTAATCGAAATATTTTATCGGACAATGTAGTAGTCACTTGCAAATAAATTTATGTGCTACCGAATTGAAATGTATAAATAAGAGTGTTTCCATATACATATATATTATAATTGACATTTATCATCATTCTTTGTATATAACATACTCTTCTCATGATATGTGTTGCCGCCTAATATATTCATTTAGGCAAAAACTGTATATAATGTTTATATGCCTAATAAAATATTGAATTGAATTGAATTGAATATGTTATGTTTATTAAAATTGCCTTTTCAAGTGTCGTTTATTCTAACAAAAACATTATTCTTTTATCAACCAAAGTAAACTACGGTGCTCCTGAATTGACGTTCTTGACATTTCTTTTTTAATTCGAAACTACGGAATAACATTTTGTAAAAACGTAAAATCATTTCTTAATTACCCTAAATGCTAGATGGAGGTCACTATCCAAGGCCATCTTTCTGCATGAAAACTTGTTTCCAAAACCCATAATTATGTCATGTATTTTTAATGAAATTTTCCCTTTTTAATGCCTTTATTATCAAGACCCTTTTTACACATTTAAACATTGAGAAAAGTCGAGCGCACTGACGGCTCCTGTTACGAAATGCTGTTTTGTTTGAACGTAATTACGAAATAAAAAACTGTCACGGATGTCAGTTTATGGGCACCAAAGTAAACATATTGAAAATGCCATTAATATAATAACACGGTCTATTTTATAGACTTTGACGAACATATTTGTTTTGTGTGCATTCCTTTTCAATTATTGTTTTAAAATGTTGTTTTTGCTATTACAGTAACTGGTGTGAGATTTTCAATTTCTAAGGAGAGAGTGCTTTTAGGAAGTACAGGCACCTTAACAATGATATGTAATATCACAGAAACAGACATTAAAACTTTGCACAATATCGAAATCGGACAAGTTTCTTCAACTACCAATGCGGAGAAAGACCCTATTCAATGGAAGACATTAGCGGAAATGGAATTAGGACAAACCGAGAGCCCTACATTGAGTCCAGGTATCAATGCAAGTGCAAAAAATTATGTTGCTGGAGGATCATGGGATTTAACAACACCTGCTAACACGTATCTTACATTGTCAATGAGCATTGAGAAGTTAGTTTGTGATGATGCCAGAGCTTATAGATGTTCACTGTTGTATGAAAGTTCCACGAAAGGAACTGTAATTGAAAGCCCTACAAAAGGAACTTTAGTTTCAACTGACATGAATGCTACTTTTTCGGCCTTTGGTAAGGTTTACTTCGTTCGTTCTCTATCGTCATTTCACTTTAAAATTAAAGCAAGATTGAGTACAAAATGCAAGATATTGTTTGTAAAAGGAAAATCCAGTTTAGATCTTTCGTTTGTACAATTTGTGTGTTTGTTTGAGTTTTACGTCATACTGACACCGTATAGGTCATATAGCGACGTTCCAGCTTTACTGGTGGAGGAATACCTCAAGTGCCCTTCTTTGCATTATTCAGGCATGAACGGGCACCTGAGTAGAACCATTGACATTCCGTAAGCTAGCTGGATAGTTTCCTCACATGAAAGAATCCAAAGTCCGTGTCGAAATTCGAACCCACAGTGGTGATGGGCAAGTGGTTTGAAGTCAACAACCTTAACCACTCGGTCACGGACGCCCCTCGTCTGTATATACCGAGTGATGTAAAGTGTAAACTGTCTATTTCTTGGCTCATGACATAGGAATATCAGATTGTCTAAAAGGTTTAGAACCTAAATACAAAGAGGCAGCATGGTCGAGTGGTTAAATCATCGGACTTGTAATCTACGTACTGTTAACCGTGCGGATTCACATCCCATAAAGGGGAGGCTGTTAGCAAGAAACTCCACAAGCATTATTTAGTACTGGTTGGATCCGGGAATTTATTTGAGGGTCTTTATCATGTTTATAGAGAGAGCTTATAGCTTTAAGCACAATCAAACTTAAACAATTCTTATAGACTAATTAAGTTAATATTATAAGAATAATAGAAAACGTTTGCTTCATTTATATTTTCAAACCATCGATATATAAATATGTTGTATCAGTAGGTGTAACAGAGTAAAGTTCATTATCACAGATAAAAAGGTTATTAGGTATTCTTACTTTACTAATTAACAAGTAATTTTTTTTTTTTTTTTTAAATATGTATAAATGCATCCTTAGTGAACAAAAATACTTTAATTGTAAGTAATATATTTGTGAATTGCTCTAAGAGCGTTTTCAACAAACAATGCTTAAAAGAGCAATAAGCTATTTCAAAAGGGGGTGTTTTATTATGTGTACCTGCAATTATCATGACTTCGTTGAAACAGAAAGACAATTCGATAATGATTAGTACAGTCATTATCATAAGCAAAATTGTGTATTTTGCAATTCTTCATTTTTCTATAACTTGCAATTAATAACTTAAAATTATAATATGGTATCCTTATGAATACATAATATTCCATTTAAAGTTCATCCATCTTTTCAAATACATTTAGTAGGATTCATTTGGCCATATAATGTATGTGTGTGTCGGTGCATATTCTTCTTTATTTATTAAGTTAATTTTTATGTCAAATTAATAATAATAAAAGAATCGTTGTGATCAATGTCCGGATAAAAAAGTAGCGCATGAGCGAAATCATCGCAAAGTCGACTAAATGTCACATGTCATTAGCACGATTTTAAAGAGAAAAGAGATGATTTTCATTTCTATATTGTTAACTACCCACATTTATATGGAGATGTACCTCATGCTACATCATATGGGGTGTGTATTTCTCAATTAATTAGATTTGCTAGGACGTGCAGTCGTGTTGATGATTTTAATGAACGCAATTTATTCATTACTAACAAACTTAAGATAATAACATAATCTAATATTTAATTTCAAAATATTTATATTTACTGTTTGCATAGTAAATCAGAACTTATATCAACATATTTATGTATGATAATTCTTATTGTTATAATTTTTTTTTAGTAAAACCACAAGTTACATCATTAAATGTAAAGAAGAATGGTTTCAAAGTACAAGGAGGGTCGCCATCTGACATGACCACTGCTGAGGTAGGAGATGAGTTGGAACTAACTTGTAAAGCAAATATAGGAAGCTTACAAGGAACTATTATTCGATGGCATAGAACATCGGAAACTTCTCAGAATGATGACTTTATTGGCTATCAACCACCGCAAGGTACATTTGATGAGGGCACTGCAGTCAGTGACAACCAGTGCGGATATACACGAGTGGCTTCAATCAAGTACAACGTAACAGCAGCTGATGCCAATAGGGATAACAATCTGGCATTTGAGTGTTATGTTACAGTAAGTGGAGATCCGTATGGGAACACGTATACCTCAAAAAACAACCCAAGGTTCTACACTGATGTCAGTAAGTGATCAATAGATTTATCACTTTAATAAGTTCTAATTAACTTCTGATTGAAGTTATTACTGAAACATTCCCTACCTTTTCCATTAGTCCTTAACATTTAACCACTTCAACAACACATTAAAGACATATGCAAAGTTATCCTTCCAAGGAAATTCTAGGTTCAATAGAGTAGTTTTGAGATTTTTTGTGCAAGAGTTGTAAACTTTGTTAGATATGATGTGGTTGATAATCAAAAACATATATTCGAAGTTTGAAGTTATTTATGCAGAAAAAGAGTTAAAACTTGAATAAGTAATCTTGACGAGGTGGCCGATTCTTAATGTGTAGAACAGCACTCAACCTACTCCTTTATGTCAACATTAAAATAATGTGCATAATCTCAATACTGCCATCTATCCATATTTTAAGTTTTGTACAAATATTTTTAGAACTTTTTCGCGTCACCGCAGGATTTAGTTTTTGTGTCACATTTTCCATATTTTCAGTCTATTTCTTGCCATAGCAACCAAAGCTTTCAACAGAAATAAAAGGAAAAAAACTTGCATAATCTTCAGATTGCAATCTATTCATATATCAGATTTCATAGAAACATTTTCAGTACATTTTACGTAATCACAGAATCCAGTTTGTGGACGGACAGACTACCGAATGCACGGAAAGACGGACGACTACATACCACTTTGGTATAATTTCACTGTTTTAAGTTTAAACCCATTAAGGTGTTTAAGTGAAATGCCAGCGTGCACAGTAATGGGTACCAACTGAATGACGTGACGTTATTTACGACGTCACGTTGTATTATTATTTGGCGCACTTTTCATTCAGTATTAGCTTTTATGTCTTTTTTAAAACGTTTCTTTGCATATATTAAAAATAAAATTTGTTTATATAATTATAGACTGCGCCACTCGTGAAATATACCTTTTGGTGCTCACTCGGTGAAATATATTCTGATCTTACACTGAACTAAACAAAAATCCTCTATATATCTTTTGGAACATGTGACATGACACCCCTGCAAAATTCTAGATTGTGTTTGTTTCATTTTTCGTCACTCATGATTTTATTCATAAATAAATCCTCAAGAATGAAGGCTTTACCTCAAAACTTAAAGACATGTAGCAGTCTACCCATATGCAGACTATACATAAGAGTTAGAGGAACTGTTAAGAGGGAATAGTAGTCTGACCTTCCTAGTATCACACTTGTCCGATTAATATGGTAAAAAAATAAATGAGTAAATTGTCAATTGAAGCTCATCCATAAAACTTTTGCTTCAACACGGATGATTCATTATTTTTTGGACGATTTCAATCACCGTGACACAGATATTTTAGCACATATTTTCTACATTAAGTGTATTTACTTGAATTTGTTTTCCTTGCATGATTGCTTTTCATTCAAAATTATTAATCCGATTTTATGTATGATTTGCTGTTCTACTTTTGCTTTTCTAATGGTTTTGATTCATAAATGCCGGGGTTGGCTGTATTTTTACCAGAAGAAAAATAAACAATATTATTACGACGCTTTGATGTATATACGTGGGCTGTTCATATACTCTTAATTTCAAAACATATCTTATTGATTCTTTCACTTTATATAGAGGATATGTCCCGATATTATTTTCTTGTAAAAATGTGCAGTTTAATTGAAATATGTGAATAGTAGAACTGCAGTCCTTATACTTTTTTGAACAACCCTCGTATGATCTTCATTTGCATATTTTATTATTTCGATAGCAACCCTTCTATGTTATTTATCTGGAACATGAACTCTTTCAATATATGCGGACATAATATGTGTTCTTTACATGATTTAAATTTGTACTATCTTACTGGGAGCTATTTGGTTGACACTGTCTATATTCTCGGTTGTTTTCAAATTCCATCTGTAGTCATTCCAAGGTTCCATATACCAAAGAAGGCGCGTTTTGCACGGGAGAGTAACTTTAAACTAGAACTATCAATGGAGAAAAATTGATATAGCTAAAAAGAATCTGTAACAAATAATTTCAAATATTTTTTATAAGAAAATGATGAAAGAGCAACATATTGATGTTACATTATGTATATGCATTTCAGAGTTATACAACTAAACATAAACAGCTTATTAAGCTATGCATTAATAGAAAAATGTATTTGTTAAATTGTTCCCACACTTTATATTACAGCTAAGCCAGATGGTGGAACAACAAGTTCAAATACACTAGCAGCAGGTAACAAGATTACTAGTGAGCAAAATGCAGGATTCGTAAATTCCATGTTGTTCAGCTTTGATCTAAATTCATGCTTAATATTTAACTGTAGTCTTGTTTCAATGCCAGTATCTTTCTTTGACTTATATACATGTATGCGCAGGTTCAAGGTTGATATACACATAAAAAAGTGTATAAGTAGACTAATGTAATGAAAATAAGTGCATTCCACTTTCATCGACAATCGGTTTTATACATTCTACAGTATAAACAAAATCGAAGTAGCTAAATAAGCAAGTTAATACTATATCGTGCTAACTTCGCGCGCAAGTTAATAATTTAAACCGCTTCCAAAACAGTCCATAACTGACAGTGAAAGTTCAAATATATGAAAAATGTATCTAAAAGATATGTGTTTTTAAAGCACATTATGACCAATTCAGTTTCTTAAATTCTTTAGAAAGGTCAAACATGTGTTTTGTAATGTTTAGACAATGGATTTAGAGAATATTAAATACTGAACAACTACACAGTAGCGCCAAATGTTCAATAATGAGTCGTGAAGACAAAATGTAGACAAAGAAGAATTTTGACTTCCATTCTTAATATAAATTCACTATAATCTTGTTAATTGTCAACAGAGCAGAAGAAGCAAAAGACAGTTTATTCAAATGGCAAATGAGTCATTTTTGGAACTGTAAGAAGGTTTCAACAATAACATGTGTAGAGAAATAAAATTGATAGCATTTCTGAGGCATAATTGGTTTTCAGCCAAATTGAATAAAAAATATATTTAATATAAAATTTTGGACAGATCGTCATAAAGTTGAACGTGCCGTCAATAACGTCGGACAAATATTATTATAATACTGCACGTTTGTAACGTCGCTTTTCATTGGATAATCGTGACGTTTATATAGCTTTATATACACGGCTGCTGTCGATTTATAAAGAAATCTCGCTTTATTCCTCTAAAAATGATGCTTGCTGTATTATAAATTCGTTATAAAGATTGTTGACATGTTATATGGCCGTATATAAACGGCTGTTTGCAATATAACCCTCGCCTAGCGGCTCGGTCATATTTACAAATAGCCGTTTATATAGGGCCATATAACCTGTCAACAATCTTTATAACTAATAATATTACCGTTATTTCGGATGGCCTTAAGATAATTGCTGTTCTTATTTGCTGATTCGCGTTGGCGTCGCGAGCCCGCAAATAAGTTGCGGAGACCACTAAAGGACGTGTAGACCTCATGATAGTGCAATTGCGTTATATTCTTTCAAAAGATAAACATATCCTTTATTGTAGCCAGCGTATACTATATAATAAATTAAGACTTAAATGTTTTTTCTTACATTTTTAAAAACTATATCGAACTCAGATTTTCGTCCACAGCATTATAACTTTACTCGGGGCTGAAAATCTGTTCATAGACCTCAACATAAGTCGTTAGGTATATAATATCAATTTGATTGTTAATGTCACATAGATATACATCCAAGATAATGAGTATTTAATTGTAATTTCCATAAACTTCGCCTAGTAAATACAATTCGTAGTTGTAAAGAATAAAATTGAGAAATAAAAAGAACATAACAAACGAGATGGTCATTAAGCGACTGCACCTATACAGACATTCGAAATAGTATCACTTATATCGATATTCTTGTTTCGTTCTGAAATATTAATCTAATTGTCATACTACTTTTTTTAGAAACTCAGACATCGTCCAAGATGATTGCATCAACATCATATGAACATTTTAAAATTACAACAGGTAAATATCAGTTATTAAATTCAACCATTATATTTTTTATAGAAAATTCATGTTTAAGTCTAAATCTGCCAGGTTAGTCCGTTTAACTGCCTGGACTATTTGGAAAAATAAGTGTAAAGTATGATGAAAATATGTTAATTATAATGACCCTAACTGTATGATCTAAAAATAGCTTAAATCTCAGTGGTCCAAACATTAGTCAATAGATTACATTATTAAAGAATATTCACTTGATGTAGTATCATGTTCACTGGCTGAATTGGATTTCCCCCTTCTAAAATTAGAACCAGACTCGTATATGAGTCTCATTCTTTTTTTAGGTTTGGAAAAAAAAAACAATCCAGCCATAGAATATGATACTACACCCAGTGAATATGATTTAATTTATTGTTCTGTTGACTACTGTTTGGACCAATGAGTTGCATCTATGTTTAAATTATACTTCAAAATATGTTATCATGAAAAAAATGTTTAATTTCCGGCTATGGAGGACCAATGTTAAAATAATTACAACAACTGTTAAAAATGTATTTGAATAATGTAACCATCATCTCAAGTTTTGGGATTAATTTATGTCTTATAGATTTACAATGAATGAGTTCAATTTTGCAACTACATGGAAGGAAAGTTAAATATCTAATAAAATAATGGTATACTTAACTATTTTGAGGTGTTAACATATTGTATCATAACCGTAAACATCATTCACAATGATTGAGGTTTCATTTCGATATTGAGTTTATTTTGTTTTTAAACATTATTGGTATTTTTCAGGAATGATCAACGGTGCAACAACTCCAGAAGTGCTATATATATGCTTAAGTATTAATTGTATGCTTGTTGGCTTGGGGTACCTCTTAAAAGTATAACTTCACGAAACAGAAACCACGTTTTATTGATGCATAATTGTTTCTTTACTTGACTTGAATACTTTTATTTTGTGCCTATATATTCATATATATTTCTGTGTAATTGTTTTTTATCTAGGTTATAAACTTATATATTTACCGGTATCTTCTATCTATTAAAATAAAAATAAAAAGAATAACATTATCTTAACAAAAAAGTTGTTAAACGCAGTGTTCGTTTTATCATTTTATACACTTGTATTTTTCAAAAACAGTATACAACAAGTGAAATTTATAGCGCAGCAACTATTTTGATAATCTTAGGAAAGATCATGATTTCTAGATATCTAAGTATATAAGAATATATTGTGGAAGCTTTTTTGCTTTAAATATAGTGGTAATATGTTCAAGAAATATTATCCATACAATATTTTAATGCCATTTATTTGTAAAATGTAAAAAGTCCCCAAAGTTAACCACTTTAAACAGAGCAGTTTATCATTTTCATAGACACACATTAATGTAACACATTTAACTTTTTACCTGGAAAAGTAAGAAAAGAAAACATACTACATACTTTTTTCAGCTAAACAAATAAAAACTCAACCATAATCATAAAAAGACTGACTTGGGGCTGAGTTCATTCTAGGGCCGAACTTAATCTGATTCTATTATGTACAACATTTTTATAAATGTGTTGTTATGTAATGACTTACAGTGTGTGCTTGATAGAGCACTTAATACCCCCACAATGTGTTTATCTGACTGTTTTTGCATGAGCTGTTCTTATAACTGCTGTCAAGTAATAGTTACCGTACTGCATAATATAAATAATAATACAGACCCGGGTGCGATTTGAAGACCAAAAGAGCGTAGCGATCGAGGTTTTTAAAAGGTCACCCGGGTTAGTAAATACTAAGCAAACCTAATCCGAGTGTGGTAACTATCTAACCTACAAGCTCATTGTCTTTTTGTAAAAACATCGGTTTTTATCTCAATATTTATTAAGTTTAAATATTCTTTACAAGAAACTTATTATTTATGTAGTTTATCAGTTGCAGGAAAGTATTCCAAAGCTACTCAAAGATACTATTTGCTACGCTTTTGTAATTTTTTAGTGCACAATTCATGTGTTATTTGGAAATTCTAGTGTTTTTTGTGGGTTTTTATTAAGTAATAAGGTCAGGTCAATGTTCATATTCACATTTGTATACGGTCAGCAATACTAATAGTTATAAATGTTTATAAATGAGCATAATATAACAATACAAGTAGACATTTGTTACCATTTATTTGTAGTAACAAGAACACATACGGAATAACGTAATAACCCAAACAATCAAAGAAATATACATGTATGAATAAATACAGCAGCGGTTTTAATAAAAATTAAAATAAAGTGATATCATACAGTTATCACAGAATATGTATGTTACAATTTGTTGATATATGTTGATAGTAAGTAATTTCATTATGCAATGTCCGTCAGTGTATTGTGTTGTACTGTGTATTGCATTGTATTACTCAAGGTGTTGTTGTTTTATTTTGTGTCAAATCTTAGCCTAACCATACTGTTGTTGTTCATATGTAGATTTTGAAATAAAGAAGTCTTCTTCTGTACTTACCTAGATCTTTGCAAACTGTTTGTGAAGTTAACAAGTAAAAAAGGGAAAAGAAACGACTATAAACAGTTCAAATTGCTTAATTTGTTATAAGTGAAAAGTACAAACATTTATAAAGTACCAATGAAACGTCAAAGGTTAATAATAATCAGCTTAATTTTCATGTTAACATATCCACATTAACAATGCTAACATATATGAAGAAAAATCTTAATAACATGGCGCAATTTTATATTTAAAGATAACTAAGATATAGATTTTCTTCAAACATTATCGTCGCCTGTCCTAGCGCTGAATGACCACGTTGTTCATTAAAGCCGAGAAAACCGTGCGTTTCAAAGTGCCACCTAAAGCGAACAGTAACAATGAAACAGGGAAAATTAATTTACTTCTAATTCACTGCATTAATATGCAGAATGTTAAGTCACACATGATGAAAACAGATCTTACCGAGAGTCAAGTCACACATGATGAAAACAGATCTTACCGAGAGTCAAGTTACAAGACTTTGATATAAAGAGTGCAAATGTAAGATCATTATTTTGTAACATATAAATTATAAAATAATGATGATAATGATAATAACAAGTTTGTTTCTTAAAAAAGAAGCGTGCGAGAGGTATTTATGCAGCTGTGGAAGATTTGTTTAGTTAGAAAATATTTGGAGATATTTTTGCATAAAAGGCACAATGATTGAATGAATTAATTACAACTTTTTAACAAACTAGAATTTATTACAGATATATTGAATAGTTTCAATAGTTTATTTCACAGTACATTTGGGCAATATGCCCATGCATACACAGTACATATAACAAATAATACAATACAATCATAATGGTCAATGTCACAACTTAAAAAAACATATATCATTAAGTTACACAGTATTTTTAGCAATCAGAAAACGTTCACTATAAATAGAATATACTATCAACATGTCTCAATTCATATACTGGTAAATAAATACTAAGGACAGATACCATCCTATTAATAAGGAAGTAAATCACAAAACAAAACAAAAATAAGTGTATGTAAGAAACAGTGATAAAGCGTTTGGGACAAACTTTTGATTACCTGTAAAGAATAGTGTTTGAACATCGAAAGCTTTAAATATATACATTGATAAGTTTCTAATTTCTATTTCATTTTCTGAATTCATCAATGTAACAAATTTAGGTATATTTGGTCATTTCTAAAATGTTTTTTTTTATATAATTTTTTCGTAATTCATTATATAGAGAACATTCTAAAATAAAGTGAAATTCATCTTCCAGAATAAAACAATTTTTACATTTCCTATCATCAAAAGGTATTGCACTAGGTTTATTTCACCTGCCGGTTTCAATCTCGAGTCTATTTGAAGAAACTCTTAGCCGGGACAGAGCAATTCTAAATTTTTCAATATTAATACAGTTTAAGTACTTTTGAAATTTAAAATCTGCAAATA